TAACACAAATATTGATACACATTGTAAAATTGATCATAATCACAATTAATGATATGTTATGTAACTTATTGAATATAACTATACATTCAATTGAATGTGAAAACAGAATATTAGTTATTAATATCAAACAAAATATAATACAAATATAAATTAATATATAATTTACTTTTTGTGTGTGTCAGTAATTATGCAACATTTCTGACAACAATGTATAAATTATCCCGGCTTGCATTAATTAAAATTATACTATTTATTGTTATAATAATAAATATGATTTCAATAAATTAAACTATGTAATTTATAAAAAACAAAATTATAAACAAATTATAAAATTACAAATACGTTAAACAATAATTATAATACATCGAGCTAAATCATTAGAAATATTTAATATGGGTCTTTTAGTGCATCTGTCGTATTGCGACATTTATTACACCTAATAATTTTGATGTGATTATAAATATGCAATTATTTATTATTTACAACTAATGAGTTGTGACTATTATATATTGTACTATTAATATAACAATTGCTAAGTTTTTATCAAACGTTAGATTCATTTTAAGAAGAATTTCTTCCTGTAATTGAAAACTGAAAATAATAATTTAAGTAAGTTTTTTGTATAAATATATTTTTAGTGCATTCAAAACAAAGTCTATTAACTTTGTTTAAATAATAATAATCTAGTTAAAAATATGTATGATTTTAATAATTTAATGATTAATAATAATAAATATGATTTCAATAACCAATGTGTAAAAATCTACAACGAATAATATAAAATTGTTATTTATAAACATTTGATTGTTTAAAATGTTTTGTGATTAAAAGCCTTCAACTAAAACTTTTGAAAAACAAGCATTTAATAAATAACACAATGAATACCATAACAAACACACGTTTGGGACACAAACTGAAACGTTTCTACGAGTTTCTATGCCTACTGACAGTCGAGCCCTATCTGTTTGCCTTCATGTTTGTGCTGTCGCTGAAGAAGGTGCCCACGGATCAGCTCATCCAAGACAAGATATGTCGGCACAAGTACGCGCTCGACGTCTCCTACTGTACCTCATTATCGCAAATGTCGGACAACGAGAACTATATGGACATGAAATCAAGGATATTGACCGACGCCACCAATTTTAACCTATACTCCATAGTAATCATGACACTGCCATCGGTGGTCATATCCCTGTTCATCGGCTCCTGGACTGACACCTATGTTAAAGCCAAAAAAGTGCTGCTCATTGCCAGCGCTGTGGCCGGCATTCTTGAGGCCATAATACTTATACTCAATGATTATTTTATTAACGCATGTATGCGCTGATGTCTTAGCAATTTTTACCAACATTATTACAAATTTGTTTATTTATTTTTAGCCCATTATATACTTTTGGTGTCCCTATTGCCGGGTGTGGTCAGCGGTGGAGTATTGGCCCAATTCATGTCCGTCTGGTCATACATCGCCTCCACAACCCCTCATCACATGCGAGCCATCCGAATGACGTTCGCGGAAATGGCTATCGGAATCGGTCAGTACATGTTTATTACAATCTAGATTAGTTTTGTCTAGCCCCGATTCAAATAATTGAAATGTTCAATATTTATAAATTTATACTCTTGTTTGATAAAGTGCCCTATTTCAATTTAATTAAAATACTATATTATACTTGGCCAAAAAAGTGCATAAATGAATTGTAAATGAAATGTAAATGTAACTTTTATTATGTAAGTGCATTGTAATTAACAATAATTGTTATTATTAATTATAATTAGAAAAAAAACATTTCAAAAGTCTGTACAATGCTTTCGATTATGTGATTAACACTTTATTAATTAACATTTGTATCAATCATTGTCATGATTACTATGGAGTTTATAAAAAGCTCTAACCCACAAACGCGTTCATCATTAACCCCTAACCCACGGGTCTTGCATCACATCCTCGATAGTGGGCCTACAGTTAGCCCTGTATTGAGTCATATTATTAACTAACATACCGGCGTCGACGCTGATGGCGGTGAACAGATTTTTCTCCATGGGAGTCAACTGGTCGTCGGGTACGGGCACTATACCCGACGGCAGTTCAATGTCGGGCTTACGGGCCAAGAGGTTGGCCATAAAGCGCTGTTGGATCTGCGCATACGGGCTCACCAGCGCAGTCAACAGACATTGGCCCAGACTATACACGTCCATGGGTTTAGTCGGATGGGGCGCGTCCTGTCGGTGCAGCTCAGGCGCCGACCATTCATTTGGCCGCACGAAGTGGTCGACCGGGTATTCGTCTTTGGGTTCCTCGTTGACGGCAATGGCCACCGATTGGCCGAAACCGCACAGTTTGTACTCACGCCGGCCTATCGGACCCCTGTATAGGATAGTCGCGGGGCTGATTGACAGGTGACTGACCGAAAAGCCCTGACACCCGGTGTGCATATAGGCTACGGCGGCGGCTATTTGGCCAAACCATTGACGACACTCAGCGTCCAGTAGGCACCGGACGTGACACAGCGTGCCCAGCGTGCCGTCCATAAGCTCCGTAACGCAACAGTGAAACATATGGGGAAAGCCAGTGGTCGGATGGGGCAGACCGAACAGTTTGAGCACCTGTACGATGTTTGGGTGCGACAGGTAGGCCAATACCCGGGCCGACTTGAACATGGCCTCCATCGAGTCGTGTAGGGACGGACACTCGCGGTTGGGCCGTTCGTAGTGGCGAAGGCTGGCCACACGACAGGCCCCGTGGGCGCCGGTCAGTGTGTGCCGTACGACCCAAATCTGGTCGGCGAACGGATGGCTCGCCGACCGTACAATTGGGTCGACCAACTCGTACTCGTTTTGGGCGAACACTCGCCGGTGATGTTCGCCGAGACCGGGACTCACGCCAAACGCCCGCTCCGGCTGGTCGTACTCCGGGCCCACGTCAGCCCACTTGTACTTAAAACTGATAGGAAATGTTTGTCGGGTGGACAGCAGTGCCGGCTCCGAATGGCCACCGAAGAAGTAGTCCCCTCTCGGCATAGATTTTGGTAACTTTTTCGATGATTTCTTGGATTTGTCCGACGATTTGCTACACTTTTTAGACGATGTCATTGTGTCTCATAAGTCCCATAAACCTCCCGGTATTATACGTTGGCAAACCTTTTGCCATTGACTTATCCCTAAGCCTTTTGATAAACTTTTAATGTAAAAATGCTAAAAAGTTTTAAAACTGAGGTTATTATTGTTTTAAAAAAATAATTTTTAGACAAAATTAATTAATTTATAACAATAACATTGTAGTTGTGATAATCTCTTTATGATAAATTAATTAGTAATTAACACAAATTATTTATTCCCATAAACAGCTACCCCTTTGGGCACATATATCGGTGGTCTGGTGCTAAACACCGGGTCTATGTTTAATAGCGGGGGTCAACTACACAACTACTCGGGTGTGTTTGCCATAACAGGTGTGACCTATTTATTAGCCCTTTTATGGACCGTATATATGGTTGACGAGGAGAAGGATATCCAACAGTGGGTCCACCTCTTCAGCAAAGTGTCGGACACCGACATCGATGGCCAGCAAACTATCATCAGAAATAAATTACAAACATTTAACGCAAACAAAGACCAACACCCGTTGAGATTGTTGCTCAACTTGGGTAACGTTAAGCAAATGTTTACCACGTGTTTTAAACGGCGGCCAAACCACTTGCGGCGCCAGATATGGCTACTGTTTTTGTCAATGACCTGTTATATGGTGTCACACATCGGACCCGTATTCTTCATGTATCAGTTCACACAGAAAGTGTACGCCTGGGACTCAATGACGTACAGCAACGGCGCCTCCATTGCCATCATTGCCATCACTGCGGGCACAATGATTATCGCACCCATACTGCTCAAGGTATAAATGCGAGTTGGGTTAATTGTTCACTAATTTCTAACATATTTATTTGTTAAGACATAAGTATGTTAATAAAATTAATGAAATTTCACATAGGTGTTTAAATTTAGAGACACTACACTATCAATGGTGGGTTTGGTATCATATTTTATATTAAATCTGGTGAGAGGTCTGGTGCTGACACCCGCCGGTTATTACTACTCGCTAATCGGCGGGTGTTTGGGAGGCGTGGCCTCAATCGGCATTAGGTCTCACTTTTCAAAGATCATACGTTTGGATGAATTGGGAAAAGTGTTCAGCGGTTTGTCGGCCATCGAAGCCCTGACGCCACTCATATCGGCCGCTCTGTTCACCGGTATATTCAACGCCACAATGGATTCAATGCCCGGTCTGTCCCTTATTGTTGTGGCCGTAATACTTATCATACCCTTTGGGGTTATACTATGGATCCATTTTCGCACTGATTTACCTGATTTTAGACACAGTGTTGATTATAATGATGGTAAAAATAATAAATACAATAGTGATGATAATCACGATATGGTAGATATGTCAGCCAACGAAAGTGACAATTTGAATTCATCAAATCATGAAAAATTTTAATTAATTTTATTGTAAATATTCTACTGTATTTAAATATTATTATACTTAATTTTAACTTACTATCACATATAACTTAATCCCTTATTTACGGATTATAATTATTGTCTAAATAAATTTTTAAAATAATTCCTATGTTTAAAGTTTTATGATAAATTGATTTTATAAATATTTTGTTTTATATTATATTAATTTATATAATATTTTTATATTTTAATATCTGTTATTTAACTTTCTATTTTAAATATTAGGTTTTAATACACATCATAATAAATCAAATTTAACAATTTTGAATCAACATTACAATTACAATCTATTATTTATTTGAATACCAATTATTATAAAATCTTACCTGTTATAATGATAGGTCAATCGGTGCTTACTATACTACTGTAAACTCAATGCACTTTAAATTACATTACATTCGGTTTATTATTTTATTATTAAAGAAGTATTTATTATTTATTGCAAAATATACATCAATTACTTATTAAATGCTTTATAAATGTAATGATTGAAACAATTTTAAATGCACTTTAAATTACATTACATTCGGTTTATTATTTTATTATTAAAGAAGTATTTATTATTTATTGCAAAATATACATCAATTACTTATTAAATGCTTTATAAATGTAATGATTGAAACAATTTTAACACTTTAAAAGTAAATAGACTGTTGCGAAGGGAATGTTTAGGTTGTGTCAAAAACGTACGCAAAATACCAAAAATTAAATCTATTATAAAAGTAGACTTCTGTAAGATATGGTGACAAACGGTATTGTAATTATAAATATAATAATGTAAGTAAAGTTACATTACATGCTATACATTGTAGGCAATACCTTTACATATGCTGTAATAAATTAATTATATTTAATCGTTTGTTGAAGACAATTTCTAAATATGGTCGTAATAATTAACTGTCTAGTGCAATTTGCTAATTGTGGCAACATTAATGATCAGTTACAAAGTAATGTAATAATATTAATATTTTTTATGATCACGTTGATGACAATAACAATTAATTCTAACTAAATTGAGATTAATTATGCAAATTATTTAATGATTTTTGTATATGCAAAGTTTATTTAGCACTAGCAAGTGCACTGAACGTTTAGAATTTTAATGATCTTACTACATTTACTGAACTTAATAAACTTGCTTTCAAGCTTAGATACAGTGTATATTCAATTGGTTTTTAAAGTTATATTATGTGTTACAATTTAATTGTACCTATCCAAACTATTATATAATACACAATAAATAATAAATTTTAACAATGTAATACTGTTATATGATAGGAAATAAAGAATTTTTTTTGATTTTGAAAAGGTACAATTTAATAAACCAGACACAACATTAACTTTATTGAACATGATCTGACTTTGTATATAACGAATTAACGTAACAATTATGTTTTTAGTTTTTATGTTGTTTTAAAAATAACTTTTAAAAATTTAATATTTGTTTAAATATTATCGTGATGACTAAATAAATAGTAAGTATAAATTAATTTTACCAAATTAATAACTGTAATTAAAACTAATTAATACATAATGATTCATCAGGTTCCAGTATATAACATCCGCAACATGATTAATTTAATAAATACTTACCTTGCAAAATAAACTATACACTAAACATTTAATTAAATATAGAAATTAATGTTAATCAATATAAACATCAATAAATAATGGATACGAAAAATACGCAAAAATATCGTTTGAAGAGATTTTACCACTTTGTAAAACTATTAACAGTAGAGCCCTATCTGTTTGCGTTTACATTTGTGAATAGCGTAAAGAATGTGCCCATAGATCAGCTCATTCAGGACAAGATATGTCGGGTGGAGTACCGGCTGGCGGCCAACTATTGTCGACAACTGTCCACATTGTCGGCCGACGACGACTATTTGCACATGAAGTCCCAGATATTGGCCGACGGGTCGACGTTCACAATATACCAGATACTGATACTCACACTGCCGTCAGTGTTGGCCACCCTATTCATCGGCTCCTGGACTGACACTTACATCAAAGCCAAAAAGGCTATATTAATAGCCGGAGCCGTGGCGGCCGTATGCGAGGCCGTTATGCTGTGCCTAAACTCATATTATTTTGATCTATGTAAACAAATTGTGAGATTTATGTGTTTACTTAATTAATTTATTAACTATCAAAACAAACATCATTTTTGTAGCTCAATATGTGATACTCACAACTCTGTTGCCAAATGTATTCACCGGCGGATTACTGTCCCTCCGGTCGGCCATCTGGACGTACATCGCGTCCGCGACGCCGCCCAATATGCGGGCCCTCCGTATGACTGTCGCCGAGTTTACTATTGGCATCGGTTTGTATACTTATTTTACATTCATGTGTTATTTATTTTTTAAAACTAACATTTTATAAAATTTAGTTTAATTATTAATTATTTTACTTAACATTTACTTAAATAATAATAATAAAACAGAGATTGATTTTGTTTTTAAAAAGCACAACCCTTTGGCACATACATCGGTGGCCTAACCCTAAACACTGATCCCATGTTCAACACGACTGGTCAACAGTTGCGCAACTATTTCGCACCCTTTATACTGTCGGCTCTGGTATTCAGCGTAACACTCGTTTGGACGGTATATGCTGTGGACGAGGAAAGGGATACCAGAGTATGGCTCGAGTGGTTTGGCTCACAACAGGTAACCGTTGTCACCGTCAACAGTGGGACAGACACCGAGCGTAGGCTACAAGTGTTTGCCGACCACCGACACAGACATCCGGTGCGACTACTGTTCAACACAAACAATTGCAAAGAGATGTTCCGGTCGTGCTTTAAACGCCGCGACAGTCACCGTCGGCTACACCTGTGGCTACTGTTCCTATCGATGGCCGGTTACCTGTTGGCGAGCACCGGACCCGTTGTGTTCATGTTTCAGTTCGCGCAACGCATCTACTCGTGGGACTCAAAGACATACAGCAACGCCAGTGCGCTCTCGGCGCTGGCCGTCTCGTTGGCCACACTCGCAATCGCACCCATACTTCTTAAGGTCAGACGAGACACTATCTATTACTACAGTCAGACCTCGATCTAAGGGACTTATTATTGTATTTATATGTATTATAATGAACTTAACTTACATAGAGGTTCCCTAAATAGAGGTCGCATATTATTGACTTCAGAAGAATGATTATCTCATATATTAACCACCAATTGATACCCAAAACAACAGGTGCTGAACGTGTCGGATACCGGGGTATCGTTGATTGGTTTGGCGGCCTATTTCGGCCAGAATCTGATCCGCGGTCTGTGGCTATCGTCGGACGGTTTCTTCTACTCACTAATACCCGGCTGTTTGGGTTCGTTGCCGTCGATTGGGATGCGATCCTTGTTTTCAACGCTTGTTTTGTCCGAAGAATTGGGCAAAATATTTAGCTTTTTGGGCTGTATTGAGGCCATTGTACCCCTCATAGCGTCAGCCGTTTTTAATACAGTATTTAATGTTACGATGGATTCCCGGCCCGGTTTGGCACTTATACTGGTGTCGGCAGTACTGGTCATACCCTTTGTTATACTGATATGTATTTATAAATATATAGTTATTTCCACCGTTTGTGTCAATAATAATAGTGATGTTAATAGTAATAATAATAGTTATAATGTAATTAATGATTGTAATATTCATAATAATGTTGTTAATACTATTTAATTAATAAACATTTGTTTGTTTAATTAAAATAAATAGCTTGTATCTAATTCTAATAATTTATTCTTTAAACTTACCTTAAAGTATTTTTGCGTGATTTTTGTGACAAATACTAAATGAAATAAATGTTATAACTTATGAGTACACAAATTGATTACAAGTTATTATCACATAGAAAATTTTTAAATAATCACATTACTAAATAAGTTTCAGGTTAATAATACAGTAAATTATTTTTAGTAGTATTTTACTATTGCTTTGTTGATTGTTAAATATTTTATTTTACAAACTTTTGATTAATTTATCCGTATCAAACTATTTTAACAATGTAACAATCTTAGCCAAGCATCATTTACTATTTATTTAATATTAGTACATGTAATATTATATTACCATTACTTTGATAACGTAATTATGAACTATCACCAGGTACATGTTTATCCGTTACAGTGAAATGTCAAATGAATTAACTGGAAGTAAAAATGCGATTATTGTATGTGATACTGATATAAATTAATTGCTTGTTTTATATTGCTTTTTAATTAATGGTAAATAAATAGGCGATTTAAAAATAATTCATTGTAATCGTAAAGTTTAGTGTATTCTTATACACGACATCTTTCACAATCAATTATGTGTTAATCCAATAAAACCAAATACCAATCACTATCATCATGAATGCACTAAATCTTGATCATTTGGGATACTAGTATAAAAACAATATATTATTGTTACATATAATCATTATATTTATTTCTGAATTTATAAAAATAATTTTGATTTATTTAATTTCTATTATAATAGCTAATAAATTATTGGCTAATTATGTAATACAAAAATATTAAACAATAATTTTATCAATTAAATGAAAGTGTTTATTTACTAAAAATATATAAATAAAAATTGCAAAAATGTCGCAACATAATAATATAAGACCTGTTGGATCAGGTGACAATAATAATGGTCAATCAAAAATCTCAACCATATTCAGTTTTATACGACTTTTAACAATAGAGCCGTATTTGTTTGTATTTATGTTTTGCATAAATCTAAAGAAAGTGCCAACTGATCAATTAGTGCAAGATAAAATATGTCGACTCACATACAGTATATCCGCGGATTACTGTACAAAACTACCGTCGATGACGGGTGCGGAGGACACACTGCACATTAAGTCGGACGTATTAACCGACAGCACAAACTTCAACATTTACTACTTTGTATTGAATACAGTGCCGGCGGTGTTGACCATCATGTTTATTGGCTCGTGGTGCGATACGTACATCAAAGCCAAAAAGACCTTGCTCATTGTGGGCGCCATGGCTTGCCTGTGCGAATCTGTGATACTTATACTTAACGACTATTTTTTCGATCAAAGTACTAAATACAATGTTTTATATACTGTAAATATTTCATAACATTAACAATCATATTAATTATAGCTTACCTCTTGGTCCTGTTGTCACTGGTGCCCAGTGTGTGCACTGTCGGCCCATTGGCACTGTTGACCGCCATCTGGTCGTACGCCACGTCGACCACCCCTAAACACATGCGGGCCACGCGTATGACAGTCATGGAGATTATCACCGGAATTGGTCTGACACACAATGGTTTAACTTTTCAGTTTGATTTACATTATTATCACAAATAATAGCTCAGCCGTTGGGCACATACATCGGGGGTCTGGTGCTGAACACACAGCCCTTTTTTACCGCCGGACAGTTACACAACTACTCGGGTGTGTTTGCGCTCATGGGTTTTGTGTACGCATTCGCCCTCTTATGGACCATATATATGGTAGACGAGGAGAAGGCCATCAGGGACTGGGAGGGCCGGTACAGCACACATTGCGACAAAGTGATCGAGCTAAAAATGGCCAAATTCACCGACAATCAACACAACAGTCCCATACGCCTATTGTTTGACGTAAATAACGTTAAATCAATGGCCATGTCATGCGTGAAGCGGCGCCCAAATAGCGTACGGCTACAGATCTGGTGCCTATTCGTGTCGATGGCCTGTTATCTGTTGCAAACCATCGGTCCGATGATCTTCTTGTATCAGTTCTCGCAAAAAGTCTATTCGTGGGACTCATCCACGTATAGCACGGCCGCCGCCGTCGGCAATATAGCCATCACTTTGGGTACACTCGCCGTATCGCCTGTACTATTAAACGTAAGCATGGTACTTTTTGATCAAATTAGTGATCTTGATTGATTACATTTGTTATAATGTATAACTTATAAACAACAGGTGTTTAAACTACGAGACACGTCACTAGCGATGATAGGTTTGGTGTCATACTTCTCGCTGAATCTGACCCGCGGTCTATGGCTGTCTCCCAACGGCTTTTACTACTCATTAATACCCGGCTGTTTGGGTCCGTTGGCGTCGATAGGGATTCGCTCGCATTTTTCCAAAATCATTGAGCCTAAAGAGTTGGGCCAACTCTTTAGCTGTATGTCAACCATTGAGGGCATCAGCCCTTTGATCGCGTCAACCGTTTTCACCACTATATTCAACGAGACAATGGACTCGACGCATCCAAAATCATTGAGCCTAAAGAGTTGGGCCAACTCTTTAGCTGTATGTCAACCATTGAGGGCATCAGCCCTTTGATCGCGTCAACCGTTTTCACCACTATATTCAACGAGACAATGGACTCGACGCCCGGTTTGGCCTTTATATTGGTGTCGGCGTTGTTGGCCATACCCTTCGCTACAATGGTTTGGATCCATTGGTTTACTACTGAACCAGAATTGCCTCATCATAATCATGGTCATCATAATGCCAATATAAATAATGATGATAATAGTGATTTAAAAGTATAATTAAACCATGTTCTGTAAATAGTATATGTACTTTATATTTATTTAATAAACAAGTTTAATACAAAACATTTGCAATAATAATAATAATAGATTCGACATTTCATTTAATTAAAGTTTGATATAAAATTTGGCCATAATTTCAAATAAACTAACATTTTAATGTTTCTAACGTTATATGGTTGAACGGACTGTAACTTATTTATATAATTATAACTTGCTTTAAAATAATTAAATAAATAATTATTTTTGGGTTTTAGTAAATAAATCAAATAGATGTTAACTTTAATGAAAACTAAATGTGTATTACATTTCTATTGATTAGATTTTTGTATTTATTGTAAATCCAAACCCAAACGCGACAATCAATTAACCAAATGATAAAATCTTTGCCATTTGTGCCAAACCAGAGACCAAACAGTCCTCCCGTATAACACATATAGTCTGTGAACGACATAATCGGCTCCTCTTTATAGACATATAGGGGTTGTGTTGAGTCCCAAACCACTGACTTCTCCACTGTTTTATTATCAATGTGTAAATTATACCACAAATGATTGCCAATTTGTGTGTCAGTTGTGATCACTCGTGTGTTGTATTCAATTTTCAAACAGTCTTTGGGACAATATTTTGAACATTTATCGCTAATATCACTCATATATCTCTTATTATCTCTAAATTTACTTAATTGTCGTTTAAAGTAATAATAACAAAGTTTACGACTTAAAAGTGATGTTTGAAAATCAGATTCATGCAAATAGTTGTCGTGAAATAGTGGCACACATTTGGCCGACCGGTGGGTATAGTCTCTAACACAACGTCTCAAACAGTGTGCGCGCGAATGGGCGCCAAATGGTTGATCACCAGTACTACGGGATCCCCGACCGTAATCACTGCACTCGCCGTACGGTTTTGGTAAATAGGATTTCACTGTTTTGCTCACAATTAACGTGTGATTAATACCCAATAATTGTTGCTTTTTATCGGCTATTTGACGGACAGACGGCGGGTAGGGGTCCGAGTGGAACACTACTGATTTAAACATGTTGTATTTAAGTGTAGTAATGATGCTAAATTTGGGTTCACCGTGTGAATTGGTATTTGTTAAATTTGCTAGATGAATTGTTTTAAAGTGATTTAAATAACTTGTCCAATAAAAACTGTCCATTGTTTTCAATGCATTCAATTTGTAAATATTATTTCCAACAACTATTTTATAATTGTTATATAATTCATCATTTAATGAATTATTAAAATATGTGCCGAGAGTTGTGTTTAATTTACAAATGTCATCTGGACAATTACTATTAGCATGTACAAATCTATGATAATAGTAATATAGTGTTATATAATCAAAGTTATCTTGATGAATATTGTTATTAATGTGTATTTTTATATTAGTCTTGTATTTATAATAATTAATTGATACATTGTACAACTGGTGAGTCAGTATTGCAGTAAATATAGCCATCAAAATGTGCTAATAAATAAATGTGCAAGTTTAATTATTATTATGTTAAATGCAAATTATATAAATTAATTAAATTATAATATTTTATAAAGTTTATGTTAACACAATTTCTTGATATTAGTCTATTGTTTATTACTCTACAATATTTATTTAAAAGTATACAAAAGTTAAATAATAATTTAATGTTATAAAATGTTCATTTAATTAATGGCATTCAATTATTATACGATATATTGCAATTAAAACCAGAATTCTATGCAAGTGTAATAAATGCAAGTGCAACTATTGTAATTAACTTGATTAAATCATGATTAATTTAACAAATAAAAATAATTTATTACCTTTGCGTTTGCGTTAAAATATTTGAAAGCAAATCCAACAAAAGGATGTCTGATGTAAATAATACTTTTAAATTGTTTATATAGACGACAATTTATTATGTATAATTTTAGACTAAAAAATAAATAAATGATCAAGCCAATTATATTAATACCGTGCCATAGACTCAATATATTAGCCATACTTATTATAAGCGCGATTGTGGTAATTTTAGGCGTATATTTAATAGTAATATAAAAGTTATTTTTTACCAAGAAATTATACGATTTACTAGACGTACTCCAAATAGTAGTTTTCATGTGATTATTGGTAACAACGCGGTAATAATACAAGTCCTCAGTACATGAGACGGGACACCGGTGTTGACACCAGCTGTTAATTTTTGAATTTAACAAGGTATTTAGTGTCTGGTTAGTAGAACAAAATTTATAAACACCATGAT